TGGCTCTGGCAGCGCCCAGGCCAGGCCCGGCTCTGCTGCACAGCGCTCACACCAGGAAAACAAGGCCCCCCTTTCCATCTTCCCTCCTTCCCCCTGCAGATTTCTCCGGAAAACGCCGTTGCGCCGGCCTCGCAGGGCGTCCGTGCCGCCAGCCGCGGTGCTGCCGCCGTGCCGCGCTCCGTGTCCGCAGCGCCCGGCCCTGCGCGGCGCCAGCCCCGCGCGCAGCCCGCGCAGGGGAGCCCCGGGCGGCCGGGCCGGCCCTGCCCAGCGCCACGGCCTTGGGCCAGAGCCAGAGCGCAGCCCGCAGCGGCCCCGCTGCCGCCTCGGAGGAGGAGGGCAGCGGCTTGTAAATAGCTGTAACATATGTATGAATGGTTAGGAAGCCGCCATCCGTCATGCAATGGGAAATGACTTTTCCATGACGTTTTAAAAAGAAAGTGAGTCCTATTTATCTGTGTGTTGGCATTACCTTTAGTGAAGCTTCCAGCCCCTCCCGACCGTTGGCGCTCCATAGGCATTTAGAGTGAACTGCCACCAAAAACGATGTGGGACAGGAYGTGCCCGTCAGTTTTTAAAATCCTTTATTTTTCTAGCTGTGTTATCATGACCGAGACTTGCGTAGGGCCCTCGTGAGAGACGCGAGGAGTCAGAAGCGGCCCCGGGCGCCGCGGTGCTGGGAGAGTCGGCCCTGCCAGCGGGGAGCCCGCGGCGGCTGCGCTCGTGTGTGGGGAGAAGCCACAAGGTGCTCGTGGTGCCCACGCTGCTTGGGGGGCTGGCCTGTCCCCGCGCCCCCTGCGGCCTCTGCACCGGGGGCAGGGGGTTGCTGCGGGGCAAAAATAAAACACCTTTCCATGACAGCCCTTGTCCGTGTTAATTCTTTTACGTGTAAGCGAATGYAGACATCCTCGCCTCTTCTTTCTCGCGCTTCTCTCGTTTTGTGAAGACCAGTYGGCTGCCGCTTCTGAGGAGCCGCGTTAAGGAAAATGAGGGAATCACAAACACCTGAGCGCTGGCTGGGCTGCAAGTGGCAAGGGACTGTGTCAGAGCGGTGTTAGAATAGCCACAAAGCTGCTTCCRTAGAGCGGGGACGCAGCTTCGTGCGCACGCTGCAGGCCTTGGAAACAAATCCAGCCCTCTCCTTGGAGGCAGACGCTCTGGGAGCCGCTGGCAGAAACTTCCTCCCCATCCTTCAAACCAGAGGCAGGGAGAAACCTTTTATCACAGCTCACAGTGTTCCCTTCTCTCTTCCACACTCCTCCCTGGAAAATTCAGGACCAGCTTCTGCGCTGAGGCGCTGGCTGCAGCACTGAGCAGTAACCGAAAAGCGCCAGCTTCAGCCCGCCGTGACTGCTGCCTTCAGGCCGCATCCAGCAGCTCCGCACGGGCTCCGCATTGGAAATATCCCCGGATGGTCCCAGGGCCCTCTAGCTCCGCTGACCTCGAGGCAGCAGCAGGCCTGTCTGTCCTGCACCCTTCCCACCCGCAAAGGCAGAGGCTTCCGTGGGGCTGTGACTGTTTCAAGGATTTGGGGAGCTGCTGGTAAAAGGAAGAGGTGCACGAGGAGTGCTCAGTGTTAGCAGTGCTCTGCGCTACGAGCTCCCGACAGCATTAAGCAAGGGCTTAAAAACCAGCAGCACCATGAAAAGTTTCTGAAGTCTGTACAGTTGAAATGTTAATACAGTTTGCTAAGCAAAGATTTGCAGATGAATTTTAAGAGTGTTGGCACTCATGGAGGATCAGCAGGGGCTGGAGCTAAAAAATATTCATTTAATGAAGGCAGCAACATGTCTGTGGTAGTTTGCACTTAACTGCGGGTTCCCTAAAGGACTTTTCAGTGTCCCTGCAGGTTGGTCTGTTTGGCAGCAGCAAGGCCTGGCTGACCGGCCCTCCGAGTAGCTGAAGTCGACCAGGCCCTGTGTCCTGCCGTAAYGGAAGGGGCTGCTGGAGTTGAGGGCTGCAGTTGAGTCCAGTCCAGGGGGCTTCTGCAGAAGGGCTTGAGGAGCAGCTGTTGGGCAAAGTGGTGATAAACCTCTCTGTAGAGAGAGACCGCCTGCTTAGAAACATCTTTATCCAGGTGCCAGGCTACCTAATGTACGAGCAGAGCTGCAAAAGACCCATTTGGTCYGTAACCCTTTTGATCAGAACCATCTGCAAGTGCAAAAGGACAAGCAGTTCCCTAGGGACGTCCTATGGAGCGTGGCATTTCCTGGGAGCCCAGCGGCCTTTACGGGCTGGGCTGGGATTGCCCTCGTGCTGCGAGCCAGCGACGAGCAGCGGGTGTCAGGGAGCGGAGATCCCACCCCTGGCCCCCGCTGACACCGTTCCCAGCAGGAACGGGACTGCTGGAGCACCCACCCACCATCCGTCCGTCCGTCCGTCCATCCATCCATCCATCCATCCATCCATCCATCCATCCGTCTGTCTGTCCGTCCATCCATCCATCCATCCATCCATCCATCCATCCATCCATCCATCCGGAACATGCTGTCATGACCCAGCCTGCAGTGCTAGCAGCCAAGGCCCAGTTAAACCAACAGGTCTTTATTGGAAGAGGCTGGTGGTTACATAACGTGAGAACGTGGGAGTGAAACAAAGATGCAATACATAAAACGGGCTGTTTCGCTATGAAAGGTGGTCCTCCCCCTCTCCTTAATAAAAAARTAATCTCAAGAGCTGCATTTGTTTTGGGCCATGAGCAGCATAAAGCACAAACTGCCCCCACTGCCCGTGGCACCTCGCGCCCTGCGCCGTCCGTGTGCCTGCAGGTTCCCTGCGGCTTCAGCGCGCCGGCTCCCTCGGTGAAGCCGAGAAAGGCAAGAGGGTTTCCTTCTGCTTGCTTCCGTGCTGCACGGTACCGAAATGCAATCGCTGGTTCATGCATTACTAATAAAAGTTGCTTTAAAATAGCTTTTCCTCGCTCTCGCTTTCTGATCTAACTGTGGGGATGCTAAGCACTGATTGTGGAGCACAGCCAATGGTATCAAGTACGAGTGCTGCATTTCTCGGGGGCGCTGAATTGCAGCTGTTCAGCTGTGTTTAAAAGCACTGCAGAAAGGTAAAGACAGATATGTACTGAGCCAGAAGAGCTCAGTTAAATTAAAATCTTTATTGATGATTAATAACTCTTACTGATGATTTTCCTTTGCCAACTAAAATTTTAAAAAATCTCAAATCTCAACGGTGGAGGAATTAAGAGGACAGATCTTCACATTCAGCTTCACAAAGAAAACCCTTTTTCTGTGAATAAAGTGCCAGCTGAGAGCGCGTTTGTCCTCGCGGGGCAGCAGGCAGAGGCTGGCGGCACCGCACGGCCTGTTGAGCCGGGCTGAGCAGGGCTCGCTGCAGCAGAGCGCAGCGGCAGCGCGAATGACAGTCGCWGCTCCCCATGAGTTGCAGAGCAGCGCTCATCATTTTACACGATTCTAAGCCCCCTACCAAGGCAGGCACCTAGTCAGACACCACGGACAACTCTTCAACTTGGAACAGTGATCTGTGGCTTACAGCAAGTTCCTGCTATTCTGTCCTACTGCTTATGGACTAACCAAGCAAATATGTTTTTAAGTCTTCTCTAAAAACCAACCGCCCATGTTATATTACAGGAGCTACACAAGTGGTTTCTTTTAACTGAAGACATTAAATGAATGTCATTTATTTAGATAGCACCACAGTGAACACAGTCACATTACRGATTCCCGGCCCTCGGAGCTTACAGTCTGAGAAGATGCAAGAAAAATTGCTCTGACTAAAGATGAAAACGAAAATGGTCGGGTCAAGGAATGTTGCTGTGTGGGTTCATCTCCCTCGGCGCTGCTTTGCCCATCACACACGAGTGCTTGACCCTTCGAGCACTGCGGCTCCGTTGCGCTGCTTGTGCTGAGCGGCTCCCTTGAGGGGACTGCAGCTGCGGCTGGGGCTTCGTGTTTTCCCTTCGCCCATGAGGCTTTCGCCGCCGTGCCCGCTGACGTGATCCAGGAGGAGGGATGATGCTGGAGCAGAGGCAGGTCAGGAAGGAAAAACGGTCTCTGTGAGACAGCTGCAGACGACGCATGAGTCCACTTTATTGTACAGGTTTCAGTCAATGGTTTTTGTTGCTAACATGAGCTTTCCTGCGCTAGCAAAAAATAGATACATAGCCATCAGCCATGGATCAGCGTTTACCTGTAGTTTGGTATCTCCAGGACCCCCAGTKCCTCCCAGGCTGAGCAAACATGCGCCGGTTCCCAAGCTCCCAGGCCATCGCTGCCTTCCCTGCAGCTGCCAAGCAGCAGTGCCTGGAACAGTGCTGGGAGCCAGCGGCAGCCCCAGGGACCCCCGGGCACCAGTGGCAGCGCCAGGGCCTTTCCGGGCACCCAGCGGCAGGGCTGGATCCGCCCGGACACCCAGCACGCTGGCCGGAGCTGCACGAAGCACAGCCACCCCCTGGACACGCATGGCGCCCACCGTGCACACACAGCCCCTCTCCCTTCAACCACACCCTGTGCTGCCAGCCRGGCTCTCACCTGCTGCTTCCCCAGCCTTTCAGGATCCCTCCAGGATAAAAAGCACCCTGCTGGGCAAGCAAGTCTTTTCCTCCTGTTGCCAGACTGCTGCTGCAGCAAACCCGCCAGGCCTCGCAGGAACCCTCTCCATTGCCYGCAGGGAGGCGCAAGGACAGGGAGCGCGGGGGCTGTGGGAGGCTCCGCAGTGGGAAGCAGCCAGCGGCTCACGGCACGGAGCGGGAAGCGGCTGGCGGCTCACAGCTCCGCAGCGGGAAGCTCAGGGCGTGGAGTGAACCGTGAGGAGAGGCGCCTAGGCGGGCAGCGAGGCTCTGCCTTGAGGCAGCAGAAGGGTCCCGAGGCAGCTCGTGTCTCATGTGGTGCGGGGCAGCGGGCAGGCTGCTCCGGGCAGCAAGCGGGAGCCGGCTGTCCCTCTTCCAGAGCGTCTGCAGCACTGGAAGCCACTGTGCAAAATTATCGAGCTCGAACACAATGCCAAGCAAGCATTTCAAATCCTGGGTAAGAAGAAAAGACCTTAACTATTCTTAAAAAACAGGTTTATTCATTAGGATCTCACGACTCGGACGGACTATAGTTACACCCAAATTGATGCTCACTCTCACGAGTCACATAAGGAACACGGACTCTGCAGTCTCCCTAAAGCCACAGGCAGTTCCCTAAAGCTCCTCATTTCAGTTTGCTTAAAGCTACTTCTTTAAGTCACGAGTTCAAGCTGCAGCGACAACCACTTTKCTACATTTTACAGAATTTGCTTGTGCTCTTCAACAGTTCCCTAAGTCCCTGGTCGCCACTGGCGCCAGTAAACACCTTTGCAACATTTATCTCAGTTTGCAGGCACACACACAAAAAATACATTAAAATGCCCTAGCAGAGGGCTGCATAAAACAGGTAACTCTGCATGGACCAAAAAAAAACCCTCTTTAATGAGCTCCGTTATCAACCTGTATTTATGCAYGTTTTAAGGAAGCAATTTCTATAGCTGCTATTTTTCCACATGAGAATTATTTAAAAATGATCCTAAAAACTTTTTGTGCCAATATGGCAAAGTGTTAAAAAGAAAAACCCACAAAGTTAAGCCAGTAGTTTGTGGAAAGCACTGAAAAAAGCGAGACCATTTCATTTTCCATCTACTTTTGTCTTCCCTTAGAGAAGAGGGAGTACCTGCTTACGAGATACTGCCCCGTGGATTTCAAGTTTCTAGGGTATTTCTCATCTGAGCAAGAGCCTACTTCTTGCATCAGAGTCTCCTCCTCAGTTAAGACCTGATGTCAAAGCAAGCACCYGTGGAACAGCACAGTCCCTTCATTCAAGTAGCCTTTCTGCAAATAAATAAGGGAAGGATTTTCCAGCACTTTCCAGGAATTACCAGTGCTCTTCTGGTAGCATGGAGAGGACTGCTGCAAGTTAATAAATATGACAATAAATTACACCCTTCTCCCTACAAAGAGCAGCTGGTTTAGATTACTACCATCAATAGAAACATTATCTGTGTTGGATACAAACATCCAAGAGGTAAAGTATCCGTGTGTCTCGTGCAGACAGCACACTTGGACAGCTCAGAGGAGTTAGTGCCACGCACGTTTTAGGTTTTGGGGATAATCCTCTRTAGGATCCTTCTCTATAGTACCACATTCTCTCTCGCATAGTTCCCTTTGACTGACCATAAGAGGTTAGAAAAGGGACAAAATCAACTGCTTTAGCACCTATCAGATCTTCATAGACCAATGCTCTTATGAAAAACCCTTAATGAACATACGAGTTCTCTTAGAATACAAAAAGCAAAGATGGTGTAAAATATAAGAAACATATTCTCTGCTTTTGTTATAGAAGGCACATTTGGGGCAGGTTTAAATGTGCTGAGTGTTTTGTCTCCACTATCTAAAGGACTCTGTTTAAACCAAAAGAGCATTTGCAGGACGTCTCGGTCAGCGGGCAACCAAAGATGCTGGGGAGATGGGACACGGTTACTTTTCCTAGATGTTTTTTCTCAGATCTAGTGTTYTTATATACATATAAAACCTGTGCAGATCAACCTTGGGAGGGTCATCTACAGRAAAAAAAAGAAGTTTGCAGAATAAGATTTCTGTGTCACTTCCTGGCAGGTTTTGCCTTCAGTTCTCTGTTGATGCTGCTGCCATGGCCGATTTCATGTTTTCGCGCGTTGACTTGAGTTCCTCCAGTTCTGTGTTTAAYTTGCCAATCACCCATTCCAGGGCATCTCGACCCTGCCGGAGAAACACTGTCATTTAGGATCAGAACAGATACAATCCCACCATTCGCGCTCCTATAGTTTTTCCTCTGTCAGACATGAGATTTGCTTTAATTTTCTTTCCATAGCCTGCAGAGCTTGGCACAGGATTATGTGGATAAATTTCTTAGCAGCTTCTTACTGCTGTTCACTGCACTTCACACCCCCATGCAAGAACTTCACACAGCAGTGCTGGTGGGTGCTGCCCCCGCTGCTCGCGGGAGCCTCCCGCTGCCTCCTGCGGGATCGGCGGGCAGCCCCGGAGCGCAGGGACGGCAGGCCGTGCGTCGGCCCCGCTTCACTCTCCAGTGAGGCCCCCCCGGCCTCCCACATCGGGGCACCAGCCTGGGCGCCTCCCCAGGCCTGAGGCACTGAGAGCCGCGGCTCTGCCCACAGCAGCCAGGTCCAGCCAGAGCAGCCCTTGGGAAACGCCGTGCCCCAGGAGGACCCTGCAGCTGCCCACACTGCAGCCACCACGCGAGTGCCCAGCCCCACAGCGGGGGCACAGCACAAACCGGTGCACCTCAGCTAAGCTAAAGCTCAGAACTTCAGCGCCCCACGTCCTCGGGATGATGGTTTTGCCCAGAGAGGCAGCTGTCAGGAGACCCCRAAAATACCTGCTCTTTTCTCCTCCCCAAAAAGCCAGAGATACTCGCCACTGCTGCCCTACAGAGCACAAGAGGTGAAGGGGCCGGGAGCCGTGCGGTTTCACCCCCTCTCAGAGGGGTGCGAAGCTTTGAGCAAAGCAGGCACCAGCAATGAGGCCCCTGCAGAGGCTGGGCAGAAGGCCAGGGGAAGCCCTGCACACCTTTATTCTCAACTTGGCTATATTCCTGTTGCAAGCACTGTGAGGTTTCTCGGAGAAAAGCTTCCCTTGGAAGAGTACGGCCTCGCTTCAGGGCTCCTTCTGCTTGGGCACCGAACGGACGCTGTTTCGCAGCCAGTAACTTCCTCATGTTCCCCACGTGCGGGCCCCGCGCGAGAGGCGGCGCCGGAGGCCCCGTGCCCAGGATCCCCTCCCGCGAGGCGCTGGAGCGCTCCACATGCACGGGCAGCAGGCACCTGGCTCCCGCGCATCAGGCCGCCTCGTCCCCTCACGCCCTCCTGTGGGAACGTCCCTGCGGCAGCGCAGCGCGCGCACGGAGCCCCCGCGGCCAGCGGCCGCGCTGCCACGAGGCCGCCGGGCGGGCGAGCAGCCTTCACGCAGCACGCGCTCCGCAGAGCCGGCGCCGAGGTTCTGCTGAGGGCCTGGCTGCACAGCGACCAGCGCAGCGGCCTCGGCTCATGTATTCATTGGCAACCACCCAAATCCCCACTTTCAGACTAGCCTGCCAAGCTCTTTCCTTCTGCTCTTCAGATTACACAGATCCACAGACATGTCCTCAGGCCTGCGTGTGCCATAGGCAGCTGAGAATAGACCCGTGATACTGGTGAGAAAGTGCAGTAGTATCTTGCATGGGAATTTAAATTTAATCATAAAGAGCTGCAGAGCCTTCATGTACGCCAGGAGCAGCCAACAGTGCAGAATCTGACAGAGGAGGGTGTGCAGGGCACACGGCAGCAGCTCCCGCGTGGGCAGAGCCCGCGGCCGGCTGGGAAGGCCGTGCGGGAGGCGAGCGGAGCAGAGCGGAACAGGCGCCCGGAGGCGAGTGCTGGCCGCGCACGCGCATCCCCAAGCAAGCCAGGCACAGACACCTGCATCCCGAGTCAAGAGAGGCAGCCGGAGGGCTTTTTGGAAGCAGTCTCATTAGTTGAAGCGTTTGCCAATACAGGAATGACAGAGGCAGCTAGGCTGAGTGGTGGGAGGAAAATAATTGGCACTGAGGTAGCACAGAGGCAACTGCCTTTAGCACTCGCAACGCTGAGGGGAGATGCTGTCACAGTCACATTGCTTAAGGGACAGGTCGCTACTGAAATGAATGTATCTGCAGAACACTGTGAAAAGTGTGGCCTTCTTACAGCCTYGAGTTTGCACAGATTTCCACAGAAGTTGGCGGAAGGGCAGCAATATTCCTCGGGCGTAAGAAAAGCAAATACGGTTTCACTACGCAAAAGATTTCCCTTGCTAGGGCATGGGTTTTGAGAATGCAATTTCACATCCTAAGGGGACTGGCAATTAGAACGCCAGTTCCAGTGAGTAACCAATTCCTTAGTCCTCTCAGGTGCCCCTTTTAGACTGGGAAACCACAGGAATGGGGATCGGAGAGCAGCTGCTCAGAGGTGAGACCCGCTCCAGAGCCACCCCACGGGCCTGCTGCACCCACACGGGCTTTCAAGGACACAAACAAGGGCTAACGGAGCCATTCCAGCCCTGCCCCACTCTAAACCTTCTGTGCAGTGAGCATGTTTGCCATTCCTGTATGTGAGGTGCATCCAACACGCATGCAGGTTAGTTTATGAAGTTCACATCACAACAGGCCATGCACACACTCGCTAGGAAGCCAAAATGCTGCAGCAAGAAGGATAACGTTGGCATTACCACTAGTTAGCATAACCTGCAGGTGTGGAGAACTGCTAGCTTAGAGCGCTCTCAGAATTTTGAATTATCCACTCAATAGCATCCCACCCCTGGAGCAACACAAAAAAGATTTACAACACACAGCGAATGACTTTTTCCATCATCACTGCAATAATAAGGTATCACCTGCCACCTCCAAACCTCAGAGCAAAGGTTCCCGTTTCTTCGGAACAGTAAAACATTTTCCAGTGGCTTTTATAAAGCCTGGGAAGGCTGCTAAGAACACAGGAGCACAGCAGAGCATTCCAGAAGAGCTAGTAAAAGTAGGGAAGGTTACAGGGGAAGAAGGGACTGCTAACACAAGYACAAATTCCCGCCCAGTTTAACGTTTGTGAGTAGACCCTTTGGAGAAGGGGGCAGGACAGGAAGGTGCTTTTACATTCTCAGTGTCCAGCAGGGCTGAAGGGGCTCAGATTGCTGGCACGCTCAGCCCGCTGTAAGGCGGCGACACCTGCGCTTCTGCAGCAACTGCGCTCGTTCCCTTCCTTCCCAGAAAAAATCCAGGACAAAGTGCCTCAGGAAGCAGCAAGAAGCACTTCCACAGACGTGCCTGTGCATAAGCACAGCCCTGCACAGCCTGCTTTTAAGAGAAGCAAGCACAGGATGGGGCAGTCGGGGCAGTGCTACCTGCAAACGCCTCAGCCCTTCACAGAACAGGCCTCTGCTTACAGTAGTGCAAGGCAAGGGCAAAGGAACAACTGAGTAATGGACAAGAACTGCACAGGCACAGAAAACATGCTATAAAGGCAGAGAGGGAAGTTAGCGCTGCACTACCAGCCTTCCGCTCCTGGGACTGAGAGCTGACTGTTTAAAAAAGGTGCTTTTATTATTAAAGGAAAAAAGAAAAAAAAAAAAAAGGTAACTGTAGCATACACCTAGGCGGTTGTTTTTTACAATGTGTAATTGTAGAAGAAAAAAAAAAAGTGATTTTTTTTTTATTCTTTGGTAAATTATAGTGTACTTGTTGAGGTCCCAGAAAATGTCGACTGAAATTCTGGGCACAAAGTTTAGTGACATTAAGTATGGTACTCAGCACACATGCTTGAGAATCACTACCTCGCCACCACCACCACAGGAGAGCAGAATAAAGGTGACGTACCTTTCTGGCATTAGAAGAGATTGTGCTTGCCATTAAGCTTTCCAAGTAACTGCTCAAGCTAATGCCTTTGACAGTAATAATTGCTTCTTGAGTTAGCACAGTTCTGTAACAGAATAAAGAAAATTATCAGTTAAACTGAATAGGACTAACATTGTCTCCTATGCCCTCTTCCCCCCAGAAAAGAGGCATACGAATTCCCCACTTACTTCTCAGGGTTTTCAGGATGGGGCGTGTAAACCAGTCTCTCATCAACAGACACCAAATTTGTGAGAGTAATCTTAAAAAGAAAAGAAATTCTGAGTTCTTGCCTTTCGTTTGCCTTATGCCAACAGTGCTTCTCAGTAGCCCAGCACTCACACAAAAGGTAAGAGACAAAGCAGTGTAAACAGAAGGACACAGTCAGTAACAACACCTATAAAGGGTGATGCAACTTCTCCTAACCTAGATCAACTTATAATCAAAGCTTTGATTCGCAACAGAGGCACAAGCAGCTGCTGGGTTTTGTTGCAAGCTGAACCCTATCCAACTTAGGGAATGCAGTTCGGAGAGGCTGCTCCAGACCAAGGCCACCTGGACACTATTCTGAGTATACAGAAGATTGACACGCAAGAAAGAGGAGGTTTTTGAACAAAGACAAACACTCCTCTGGACAACTCACTTGAAGTTTTAAAGTTAAAAGTACCCAGATGATCAAAATACTGCACAATGCTTTATCTATGGATTGGGGGCGGGGGGGAAAGGTGTTTCAAATTAAACTTTCAATTGTGAGCATCATGGTAATGTAAAGTTACTTGATCAAAAGTCAACTTCATCTTTTTTTAATGCATATTCTCAGGTACAGCCTTATGTTCAGAGCAGAATCCTAGATGCTTGGCCCCAAAGTATCTGAGGTTTCGTGCAAGAGCTGGGGAGAGCACCCTCATATCAACCTAGAGATGGAGAAGTGGCCTCCTCCTAACAGAAGATGCAAACACRCATTTCTTAAAGCTACGAGATATGGGACATCCCTTCTCCAGAATTAATTATCAGAAACTTCCTAGCCAGAAACTTCACTCACATTAGTTGAGCAAAGCTCCATCTTCTTTTCCACTGGATCCACCACTGAATGTTCCTCAATGTAAGTCAGAGTTCTACTTGTTCCTAAAATCTAGAAGCAAAACAAAAAGTACCGAAGTTAAAAGGGTCAAAACAGTAAGTTTCAAGTTCTTAGTGGCCCCAAATAAATACACAGTAATTAACTATTACTGAAACACTGTAATCAGTAGCAAGATTACACAGTGGGAAATGCTATCTGTCATGTAAAATGGCACAGATGAGGCTGAAAGGCATGTACAGACATATACTTTGGATATACTAAAGCCTACAGCACATGGCTGCTCCAAAGCGCTCCGACTGCAGCCTGTGCAGTGTTTCTGCAGGTCTATTCCCCATAAATTGAGGCCGGAGCGGCGCGCTCACCGCTCGCACGATGCCCGGCAGCCCCCATTCCGTGCTGAGSAGCCGGTGGCTGTGCAGCCTGCCCCGGCTGTCAAGGCTCCTGTCGAGCACATCGACTCCCACCACGCACGGGTTCATTGGGTTGGGATACTTCCTCATAGCGGCCTTGATCACGGTATCCCAGGGGTGCCTGGAACGAGAAGAGATGATATTTGCTGATGCTGTGATGCTGTGTGGGCAGTGCAGGTTAGCGGCTCCCAAGAGGCCTTCCCAATTCAGTGATGCTTGGAAAGACAGYGAGCAAGAACTGATGCACACATGGGGAAAAAAACCCTTTCATAACGCAAAGGAAATACTGACAGAAATAAAGACAAGAGGCAGCAGTAACAAATGGCTACCAGTAAAATTCCGCAAGTGAATTCCGATTAACTATATGGAAAATGAGGGAAAAAAAAAAAAAAAAAAGCACACAGTCAGCATGGCTGAGCCCTGGAACGGGCTGTCCAACCGCCACCTCTCCTAGAGCTCTGCTGGAGGAGCAACCTGACCTAACTTTTAAGCTTGCCCTGCTTTGAGAAAGAGGACAGATTTTGAGCTTAGGTGGCCCCCAGATGCCAGCTCCGACATTTTTCATACCAGTCCAACATACGAAATAAAGGAAAAAGGAAGTAAGAGAGGCTAGCGAGCACTTACAGCATAAATAACAACCCACACATTTCAAGGCAAGCAAACAAGGCAGATTTTCAGAAGCTACATCAACCTTAGGCCTTGAGGCACATCCATCAGCGCTGCCAGCAGGCCTACGAGCACGGCTTACAGTTCTGCCTACTCTTCTCATCGCTACAGAGCAGTTTTTAAAACAAATTCCAGCYTCAGCAACATCCATGGCAATCCCAAACTGCTGGAAGCAGAGCCGTGCAGAACGGGCTGTTCACAGCTGCTTGTGTGGGGCTCCACATGTCTGCTCTGAGACACCCAAAGCAGCCCTAGATAAATCATGGGCTTGGCCCAACAGAGTAACGTGGACTCTGAACCATGATACCTGTATTCACAGTAATTGATACCCGGAATGGAACTAAACGTGTGTAAAATGCCTTTAAAATATGACCACTGGTATTTATCACAAGAAGGCTKAAGTGTGCCAATTTGCACTGAAGTTATACTTAGCGTCCTAAATAAATTTGATTTTCAAGAAAATTACTTTTTGTCTTAAATTAGATCAGTACAAAAGAGGATACACAATACAGCACAGCAAGAACAGAGGCTGGCAAAAATAAGTTATTTTCTAATAAAAGCAAAGGTCCTTCAGATTTAGTGGTGCAACCAAGGAAGATGAGACACTCCACAGCCACCGCAGGAGGAGAGCTGGAGAACCACTCCTCACATTCACTGGATTGAACGGGACATAACAAGGAAGTTGACTATGTGACTGTACATCACAACGTAAACATCATAGTCAAACAAAGGTACACGAGCTGACAAGGTCAAATTGCACTGAAGTCTCCTTGATGGTTTATGAGGGAGCCAGAAACCTAAAACTGCTCAGGGAAGCTTCAATGAAGCCTAATATTTATGTCACTTTGGTTATGTTTGTGTACATTTTAAAAGGTGTAAAACCACACATTTGGATATTTTCTAAMTGTTTCAGTAGCCATTACTGTTTGTACCACTCAGGTTTGGAGACTTTTAAGAAATTAGTCCTTGGTGGCATTTTAACAACTCCACTGCTGACCTGCGAAGGCCAGATTAGGTGACAGTTGGGGTGSAAATCTTCAACCTGAGACAAGGGCCGTAAAGCCACTGAAAGTCACGGAGCAGAACTGGAACGTGYAACAACCTTTCCCCGTGCCAGCTCACGCTCCTACTTAGTTTCCTTTCCTTGTCTTAAAATTCCCGGAGCTTCCTCCACCGCCCCCGCTTTGGTCAGGAGGAAATACCGGCTTTGCCCTCGCTTCTTGCCCCCGCGGTGGCCGTGCTGGCTCCGGCCAKGCTCCGCGGCTTCCCGCCGGGCCACCCCGCTGCCAGCAGCCGTGCCCTCCTCGTCCCCCATCCCTCCCTGCTTGGGAGCAGGCGGCCGGTCGAGCCGGCAGGTCGGCACCGACCCGCGCCTGCTGCATCCCCGGCACGGCGGCGGGCCGCGGCCTGCGGCGCTCCGGCCTGGCGCGCCCCGGGAAGGGGAGAGCGGGACCGCGGGATGGCGCCCAGGACGCCGGGCGCGGGGCGGCACAGAGGAACCCTGCGCGGCCGCCACTGAACGGCTTTTGCCTGCAGCCCCCGCGCCCGGCAGCCGCGCTGAGAGGTCGCTCCGCTCGCGACACGCGGCGCGCTCGCGGTGCCCCGCGCGGCGGGGAGGCCTCCCCACCGCC